AGACTCCGATGCTAGATAGTAGAGTGCCAAGCACCGCATGGCAATCACATCGTTGGGTTGCGCGGATTGCCGAAAACATAGACGTTGCTGGTGGAATGTCGCCCTTGAGAGCAAGGACAGCAAACGCACGCTCGATGGAAATCTCGCCTGTATGGCTTGCGCTAGTTGCGGCAGGTAAAGGCGGCGTAGTTGGCGCCACAAGCTCTCGTCCGACCGCCAGAACGCCTGCATACATCGTCTTGAGACAAGCAAGTTATCGTGCAAGCTTGTCGTACTTGCAACACTTTGGCAGCGATGGTCTGAATAGGTTTTGCCCAGTATGAATCGCGTGTCCACGTAATAGGCTTTCGTGTGACGACGCCATGCTGTTTTGCTGCCTCGCTGTCGTCGAAAGAGCGCGAAGGGTAATCTTTGTCGAGAGTGCATCAGGTCGGATGGAATTCCTCGATCGCGTTGTGGTAGTGTACGAAGAATCGCTCAAGCATCAACCCACCGCCATTAGCACCATCGTCCACGCCTTTCCATCCCACACCACATCTCTTGGCTCCACACACAAGCCGCTCACGCATACTTCGTGGTAGTGACGGGGACAGGGGTTGCCGAACGCCCGTTTGCACCAAACATGGGCATCTGCTAATTGCTTGAATATATGCAAACTTGACTTGGCCAGCGTCAATCGACCTAGCGTCGCTGTCTCGGGGGAATGTAGTCAAGAGCGTCCAGCAGAGGCAGTCCTAGGCAAGTTTCCCTCGAGCGAAAGTGACTATTTCAAGCGCTGGCACGAATTTTGAAGTGACCAGTTGCTCGGCAAGGGGTGGGGGTCTTGAATATCGCATCGTTGCTAGCGGCTTGGCTCTGTCCTCCCGAATCGGTGCGAAGAGTCATGTCTGATATCGTCGCTAGAAAGATTCTCGGTCGTCATTTTGGTACGGCCAGCTGCCGCGTCAGAAACGAGTTGGGTGGTGATGGGTCTACCGACCTGTTGTTGTTGCAGGTGCACGCAGCGGCGAACGAAGAGCCACCTCATTGTACCCACGACCTCAGCCCATATCGTGAAAGCATTCGTGGAGCCCACCATGTACAGACAGCATCAGCACAATAGCCGTTGGTGCTGATGTTGGTGAATACAAGAATGGA